TCAGCCCACCTCAAGAGAAGGGAGTAGGGGGAGAACAGGGTCACCCCACCCCATCTCAAAGCAGTTTGTTAGTATGAAGGGTCCTTGGTGTTCTCCGAGTTTGGTTGTTTTGTGGCAGACATTTCATTACCCAAACTAGGTAACATCATCAGTGCGAGATGTTACCTGGTTTGGTCTGCAAGGAAACAACCAAGGTCAAAGAGCACCAAGGACCCCTCATTTCATCCCTGGGTGACAAATATTCTCCTTTATTAGTTTGTAGTATGTCAGCAATGGCCTGAAATTCTGGTCCCAATGTCATACCATAATATGACAGGTTAATGTCTACATCTGACCGTCCAGGTAGCTCCTAAGGACTACCATTTACAATATGTACCGTGAATCTTCCACATGAGTCTGTGAGCTTCCATTTCCTTCCCCTGATGCCCTGTCATGATGCATTGAGTGGTAATAAAAACTGGCAGCAAACCCCTGGGCTTGGAATGCTGCTACTAAGCATGGTTCCTCAAAAAAAGAAGTACCAGAAGATTCTTGGTCATCAGATCTCAGCCTCCCGATTGTCCCGTCCCTGTATAATTAGGAAAGTGGATCAATTATAACTCACACAGCTGCACTAGTGGCAGAAAGTATTTCGTTACCAAAGACGAAGAGATGGCCAAGGAGATGGTAGTGTCAGTCAAAACAGAAATGGAAATCACACCCACTCACACATACACAGGCACACCTCACACAAACCTTACTACCGCTACTTCAGCAAGACTGAATTGTGTCAGGATATTTATTTTTTTCAGATTCAGTAAATTGCAACCTTCACTTTCTTTTCATGTTACAAACTTTATCAACTGCTGCCATAACAAAATATTCTTCCCAGGATTATTTGTAACTTTCTCTGTTCCTTGAGATATGATCGGGGTTTTTTTCTCCAATTTTTCACAAAAGGAACCTATTTACAGCAGCATTCTGTTAATATTCAATTCAGGGGCAAAGTATAGAATTAGGACAGCGTATTTATTTATAAACATTTTTCAATGCTTCATAGAGGTAATTTCTCTAGAAAAGAGTAGCCAGAAAAAAATAGATGGATTTTGCAAGAAGAAATAAATGAGGAAAGATTTTGCACAATAGGATAATTTTTTCATTAAAGTGGGTCACCTCTGAGTTGAAAATTTATACATTTGAATACAAAATCCTACATACCAAGCAAATTTAAAATGTCAGGATATTTCTAAACTGATTCTTCTGCAACTATTTCTGACAGGCAAAGTGTTAAAGGTGAATGCAGATTTGCAACAGGCTTATACCAGTATTATCTTTCTTTCATAAAAACCTCTCATCTCTAAGTAGCCTGAAATGACACAGCAAAAATTTTCTGCTTGTGTATCTCAGAGAAATGTAAGAGGACAATTGTTATCTATATCATCAAAAAGAGGAAAAGGGAACTGTACTTACAGGGAACTGTAAACCAGTCCATCTGATATAAATTCCTGGGAAAATCTAGAACAAATGATGAAGAAGTTGAATAAAGAATGCAATTATCAGCAAGATTATTATAACATGGATTTGCAAAACTCACCTTATCTGATTTTTCTATTAAATATTTTTTTCCATAATAAATGGTGCTAATTCTGTAACTATTATATACTGGTTTCAGCAAAGTACTTGAAGTATCCCATGGTATTCTGATTAGCATTAATTTAGGTTAGATGGCATGACAATTAACTGAATACATAGTTGGCTTGAAAATCACATACAACAAGTGATTATGAATAGTCATTGACTACAAAATGAACATGTTAGTAGTGTGATTTGGCTGCAGAATTGCTTATTTATACATTCAGCCATATTAGGTATAGACATGTACTTCCCAAATTTCAGAAAGAAAGTCTACTGTAGTCTGCATTGTTCATAAACAGCAGTCAGACAAATTGGAAAGGTTTAAATAACAATGAGGATTAAGGGACTAGAAAATACTGTGAAGAGAGACTGAAAGAAATAAGAAAGATTAGTCTTAAGAAAAAAAAATAGAGGGGGAAATATAATAATATCAAATTGCTTAAGATTTAAAAGGATGCCACATGTAATAAAGTTCTCCAGAAGATAGGATGTGAAATATTGGATTTACATTACAGAACATCAGATACCAACTTGAGAAACTGTCAGTAAGAACAATGTGACCATGGAATCAAGTGCCCAGAGAGGCACCAGACTGTCTCCTTTTCATTTCATGTCTTCATGTGGAAAACAAGAGAGCCATCTCTCTGGGATACTTCTATCTGAATTCCTGCAATGATCAGAAGATTGAACTTAATGGCTTAATTCTGGACTGCCAATTTTCAGATTTTGTTAACTTGATCCACTTCAGATTTCGTGGCTTTGAAATGTTAGTACTTTCTTGTACATACTAGGAAAAAAGTATCATCGTTGATTCTGCAGTTTGCTGTGGTTCTGTTGAATTCAGAGAAGTCTTAACAGGTGAGAAAATTGTGTAGGAACATTTTCGTATGACCTGTGTGTTGACTGACTTTACTGTTGGCCAGTCATTCCAGGAAGTCAGTCATTCCACTCTTACTTCCTGATGGACTAAATGCAATAAAATCCTAAGTCAACTGCATCCTTCTCACCCTTAATTTATTTTTCTGCAGGGCGCAGATACTTTCACCTAACCAGGATTCCAATGATACATTCTTGTCTGAATCACAAGACAGGTCTGCCCGAATTGTGGCATAATTTTAGGGTACAGTAACATGTAACACAAAACTGCTTCTACCCTCTCATGTTCAATCAGAATCCAGTGTAGATAAATTCTATTTTGCAAGAATAATTTGAGTTATTATCTCAGCTTCCACTGTATTGTATCGCTCTGCCATTTGATTATTTGCCTTTTCTTAGTTCCCCGTGCTGCACCTCTAGACCAGGGAAGTAGTCACACAGCTTTAAAAAGAGAAAAGAAATGGAGAACACTAGCAATGCTGTAATGTTAGCTTTCCCATATATAGCAATGTTCAATTAACAATGTTGCTTTTCACATATAGTGCTTGAAAGTTTGTGAACCCTTTTGATTTTTCAACAGTTTTATATAAATATGTCCTAAAACATGGTCTGTTCTCCACATATCCTAAAACAAGATAAAGTTGAAAAAATGAGTTCAGAATTATTTGTTCATTTATTAACAGTATAGGGAGGGAAAGTTGTCGGTTTTAACAAAGATGGTTTGTTAAACTACAACTTCCAGGGTTCCCAACCAGTTTGTACATTGTGTAAGAGATGCCTACCTTCATCTTCTACTTCAGTCCTTCAGTTTTTATTTGTTGTCTCTCCTTCCATTATTATTCAATCCCTTGAAACAGTAGTTTTCTCTCAAGTCCTTCTTCACTTGACCATCAACAATTTCACAAATTTAATGTTTTCAGCATGGGATATTGTACCAAACTAGCAGTCACTCATTGTTAACAAATAGGTGGTGGTCAAGGCAAACTGTCTGTTTTCAATGCTATCTTGATTAGATCTCTCTGCTACATCTGATATCTTGACCAATATATCAATTAACTTTATAAATTAACTACTAATGTTCCACCTGAGGTTTTTCTTAGTGAAATGATTCTAGATCTACTCATTTCTCTGACTCTTTTTTTGTTGTATGGAATGGTTCTATCTCCCCAACCTTTCTCTTCATCTGTACATGAAGTGTAGGTTCCTTTTCATTTGCTTTGAATTATTGAATTTCTTCTTGTTAGTTTGTCTCATCTATGCTGACAATATATTATTTTGTTCTAGATGACCCAATGCATGAACCTCTTTGCAAAGTGCTTTCAGGCTCCCACATCTCAAGCTGAGCCTAAGAAAGCAGAGGTGGCTGTGTTTCACCCTAACCATCCCATCTTCTCTCTTTCCATCTCTATTTTATTTCCAGGGCTGTAGGCTGGGGCCTGCTCTGTAGTGAGAAACCAAGGAATCCAGATCAAGGAAGAACCCTCTTTATGTATTTTCATCAATAAAACCACAAAAAAGCATAGCTTTCTTTAAATTACTGAAATGTCCCTTAAGCTCCTCCTGCTTTTCATACACTATTCATACTGATTCAGATCTTCTCCAAAGCATCTCTACTTCTCTCTATTATACATCCCTATACTAGCTGGATATCCAGAGAAGTTTAAGTTACTGGTACATTGGGCCTCGTATAACCATACTCAATTAGTTTGAATATTTGCTTGAGGCTCAGGTGACTTATGCTTAGCATGATTGTGATCCTGCTACTAAAATAGCTACAATTATATGATAATCTTTTCTCATCTGGAACCAGATTCTGTAATCTGATTTATCAATAAAAAGGACTGTAAACATTTCTCTTTTATGGACCTTCACAAAGGTGATCTAATAATCACTTCTCTAACCAAATGCAGTGTGTTATTGCTCCAAAAAATAACACTGTATTTGGATTGTGTCTACTCTACTTATGAAGGTGACTAAAACAGTTACTGGGATTCTACTTAGAGAGATGGAGTTGCTGTAACAAAAGACTCTTTGATTTGGGTAGAAACTTTAAAAAAGGAGGGTACATTTAATGAATTTACTTTATGATCATGCAAATATTATATTCACAAGCAATTGTATTGGTTTTTAACACCCATATTAAACCCTTACTCAGTGTGATCAAAGGTAGAACTTACATGTCTTTTAAAATATATGTGTAAAGGTCATTCCTATGCATTTGAAGCCTTTTGAATACTGAACTAGGGAGTGATAGTGTGTGGATTGCCAATTGTGAGCTTGTGTCCATGTGTGAAACATTTCTAAACTGCCTTCTAAGGCTTTGATGTAGAATTTAATATTATATGAATGACTTAAGAGCTGAAAACTGCCTGGGATGGAGGAGAATGATCAGGCCCCACAAAACATAACAGTTTGACCACCCTGAATTTCAGTTAGTCCAGTAAATAAAAAAACTAAGGAGAATCACGCCCCCCCCCCTCTGTTACTGCTCCAATGTTGACAACTTGGGGACTACGTCCATCTCTCCTCCAGAGTACTCTGCTTTAGGTCCTGTCCCCTTGGCAACACCGTCCTTGCATTCCAGACGTCTCCTGTGTTTTTGCTGCCCAGGAGATAATATTCATGGCTACCAGACATTTGCGTCAGTGACAGATAGTCTCAATGCCATCATGCCCCAGCTTGGCTCAGTAAAGAACTCAGGAGACAGAAGGAGCTGGGCAGATTCAACATAAGAGCCAGTCCATCTCATCCACGCGGTGAGACTTCCCTACAGACATCCTCAGTGCCTTACACGCGGGCGAGAACATATTTTCCCCCCCTTTGCAGGAACTTCACACACCGTGCATCTCATTCCCTTGTGCCTGATGGATCAAGGCTCTCTACACCTCTGGACCAGGATGAACTCCATGCTGATCCTGCAGCTGATTTTGCTGGGTCCTGCTGCTGTTGCTGGCTGCAACAGGGATGCCGACAAGCCACTCATCCTGGCTAAAATCAAGGCACATTTCCAGGACTTCCTTGGTCCTGTCCCCCAAGGTGAAAGGGTCCAAAGGGGACAAAGGGGGCTCAACAAGCGGCATACCTTGGACACACCAGTGACTCGCAGCTTGGAGGAAGAAGATATATCCCAAGTGATTGCCTTCCCAACCCAAGGTAAGCAGAACCATGATTCAAAAGGTCCTGGGAGGTTTAAAACCCAAAGGGAAAAAATGCAACCATTATTTTATCATCTAAGCCATTTCAGCAGGTGCAGGAACAAGTACTGAGGTTAAGCTCATGTTGTGGATCCTGCACAGAGCAGAGGGTTGGACTAGATGATCTTTTAGGTCATGTCCAACTGTATGATTCTATGAAACCAAATAACAGTGAACTTTATGCCAGAGATGTGCAGATGCACACAAACACACACATGTTGATTTTATTCCAGCTATAGCAGAAATTTAAGCCAGATTCAGCCATTCAAATCCAGCTGATGTTGCCAGTGTGAGAGCTCTCATGTATCCTGGTGGCTTTTAAATATTTCACTTTTCCTGTAGATACGCACTCCAGTTTTCTTTCTAGTTGTTCAGAAGTCCCACTGAATTTAATGCAATTAACAGATCTTTACATGACCTTAAACATAGGTCTAATTGGATTCAGCTGGATTATTTACAGATAACAAGATATAGCATTTCAACCACAATTTGTAATGTTATATCCTTTTATTTGAGAGTTAGTCTCGGTGAGACTTACTTCAGAATAAGTAGGTAACACTGTACTGTGACTTCATGATGAACTTGCAACCTTAAGCTTTTTGTTACACTAACATAAACCTATTATTTTAGATTCTGCAGGTGCTTGTGTGTAGAATTGCCTCCTTAGGAAATATCTTTGAAAAAGATCTCAACTTTCCACAATCTAGATTACTGACGTGGGTTTATGTGTGAATAGGAAATGAAATGTAATGATGGTATGCAGAAAAAATGGGGAGGGTAGAGGAAGACAATCTAAATGCCATAAAGGGAGAAATGACTCATTAGAATCATGTGAACTTTGAATATTATCACTCTTGCACATACACATACTCTTTTACGGCTGTGCTAGTGTTGCTGGATCTGAGCTGCAAAAGTCCAGATTTCCATTTTACAGGAAGAACGAATTATGGTTTTCTATATCTCTTTTCTGCCATCTAGTGGCTCTCCGGATTTTGGCAGCCCAGTTTTGGCAGCTCTAGTTTCCTCAGGATTTTCTTTGGAATTTATTTAGTATTAATACATGGGTCTGCATTATGAATACATATGTATTAATGTACAGATGAAAAAACTTCAACAGTAAGCCAGGCAATATTTGTATGGGATTTAGTTTCTGCAAGTGCAAGAGTTTGCTGTCATGCCACATGTAAACATATAATCAGAAAAATTCTTTTTCTGAAAAACAAATGTCATTAAAAGGCCTGAACTTGTGCCTTTTAATAACAATGTTCAAGTCAGAACAGGTGGTATCAGTTTCTTCCTGATTTTTTGTTTTGTTTTGCTATCACAGCTTAACACTGCTCTCCTGCTACAAGCAGGAGTCTCCAAACTTGGCAACTTTAAGACTTGTGGACTTCAACTCCCAGAAACGCCCAGCCAGCATGACTAGTTGAGGAATTCTGGGAATTGAAGTCCACAAATCTTAAAGTTGCCAAGTTTGGAGACCCTCTCTCCTACAGTGTAAGCATACAGCATCCTCAGCCAGTTATTAATCTAATAAAAGAAAGAACTTGGCTGCATTTTTGCACCTGCCCTAATAAAGAGAAAGGAGACTTCGGAGTCATCAGCACTTGTTCTTTCTTCCTTCACTTCTTCTTTCAGTCTAGGAGAAATGATAGCCTACAGCAGGGGTCCCCAAACTTGGCAACTTTAAGACTTGTGGACTTCAACTTCCAGCTGGCTGGAGAATTCTGGAAGTTGAAGTCCACAAGTCTTCAAAATTGCCAAGTTTGTATACCCTTGGCCTACAGTATGTAATGCTGAGTCCCTTCTCTTTTGCAGAGGTACCCTGTGAGCCACTTCAGCCAGACGAGCTTCCAGAGGATGAGGGCGTTTTCACCTACATTTTTCAACCCTCCATACATATCCTGAGTCGTGAGGTGACATCAGCCCAGCTGTGGTTCTACACAGGCCCTGTGATTGTTCAGAACAGCCCCTTAGAAGAAGCTGCCTCCAACAACTCCTTCCCAGAGATACTGACGCTCTCTGAGGAAGGCCAGGTTCCTCTGGCTACCATGGCAATGGCAGCTCCGGAGGGCTGGACGGTCTTTCATTTTAGAAGATCCTTCTTCCATTACCTTTCCCAGAATGTATTTGTGCTCTTCATTCGTTGCCTAGGCTGCCCCTGTGTGGCTGATGCTGAAAAGATGCCCTTCCTTGTGGCAACCACCAAACCCAAGGCACGAGACCGGGCCCGGCGTTCCGCCAGAGAAAATTTTCTAGCTACTCTCCCTTTGTACCAGCATAATGCTACGCCCCATGACAACTGCCAACGCAGCTCCATCAGCATCTCTTTTGAAGAACTAGGATGGGACAACTGGATCGTGCATCCTAGCAGCTTTATGTTTCACTACTGTCATGGAAACTGCTCTGGCATCCAGACAATGATTGGCAACTCCCAGAAATGCTGTGCTGCCTTGCCAGGCACAATGCAGTCTCTGAGAGTCCGTACCACCTCAGATGGTGGCTACTCCTTCAAGTATGAGATGGTGCCCAACATCATCACTCAGGACTGTGCCTGCATATAGCAATAACTCAGCTTTAGCAATATAATGCTTTCCTAAAGGAAAACTATTGCCTTGCTCAAATCTGTTTGCTCTAGACCCTCTGCAGCAAGATATCTTCTTCATATGAACCCAGAACTAAGCCCTTTCTACTCAGGGCTTAATAGTGCCAGTGCCTTATTTTTTCAATGTGAAGACTGGCACCTTTGGCCTTCACAGCCAGATTTGGAGGCTTTACAACATCTCATTTGCCTTTGGATTTTTTTTTATTAACAGAAGCTAAAATCAGAACGGAGAAATAAGAACTGGGTGGAGAAGCTGCTTAATCTTCCCCTTTTGTTCACTCAAAAGTGCCTCTGCTTAGCTGATCTCCCACCCACAGAATAATTTCAGGTTAGAAAGGGTGATATTGAGCAGACAGGAAGGGATATGATAAATAGTCCTCCTCTTCCTCCTCGATCGCCTCCATTTGTTCCCTCTTGATGACAGCCCACAAGGAAAGCAAATGAATGCATGTATTGTAGTTTTGCCTGACTGCCTTGAATCTATGTCTCTGGACAGAAGAAGTGCAGTCCTGTTTTCCAAAACTAGAAAGAGTTTAAGGAGTTTCACAGACTGAGAAAAAGAATAGGGTGGTGAAAATTCTTATTAATCATAGAAACAGCCATACACTCTTTCAGTTAACTTGCCCTAAAAATTTTCTGAATTCTAGGGGTCTGAATGCTTCCTTTTATAAAATGGAGAGAAATAAAGGCCCATTTTTGATGATCCTCAATCCTGACATGCTACATTTTCACTGTGTCTTTCTTGGCTCATGTTCTTTCAGACAGATTTAGCCTTGGGGTTCTACAAATACCAAGAGGAAACTTGCAGCAGAATGCTTAGCTTCTCAGCCACCTCCTATCTTATTTGTCAAATGAACCAAAGACTGGGGAATAGGACATATACATACATTCTGATAAGAGTTATATAGAGTTTTATAGAACTATTGTGTGTGTGTATATATATATGAACATACATACACGCACACATATACATACATATATACAGTATATAATCTATATCAGGGGTCTCCAACCTTGGCAACTTGTGGACTTCAACTCCCAGAGTTCCTCAGCCAGCAAAGGAACTCTGGGAGTTGAAGTCCACAAGTCTTAAAGATGCCAAGGTTGCAGGCCCCTGAGCTAGAGAGTATCCTTAACCAGAATGTGATGAGATGCGGCCAGGGTGTACCCTTGCTTTGTGAAACTGCATCCTAATCAGCAATCATTGTGAAAGCCTAATTAAAAAATATTTTGAAAACAATGAGTTATAATAAAAGCTTTTTTCTCTATCCAGTTTTTGTTGTTTTAAAAAATATGCCGCTCCTGGGACAGTTTGTGCTCACTTTACTAAACAGGAAAGAGTCAAATGAATGTCAGGAAAAAAAAATGCTTTTCACTTTTGATTTCATATAGGTATTTCGCTGTAAATTCTTGCAGGTAAGTTTCAAGGTATTTGTTGAAGAGAAGGAAGCATCGGGGAAAGGATCAATTTGGCTACAAACTCCAAGATAGCACTAGGATACAGACAGAACAGGATGAAAGCCAGCCAACTGTTGCTGAGCACTTTTAGCTCTGCTCCTGAACCTAGTTATATTCTTCAATTAATACCAAGCTTTGTCAATAGATGGCTCCCAAGGCAGAGAAACAGAAAATACAGAAAATTCCTTCATCTTGATTCCCCTACTTGGCAGATAGGGACTTTTGCAGAGTTCAGTGAAAGCAGCATTTGTTGACAAAAAGCCAAAAGGAGCCATCTCTTTCCAGATTTCATAGACAGGACAGAATAACATGTCATTCTGTAACTATGTGCACATTTTGTGGGGACATTTTAGCCTAGCATGCAGTGCACTAAGCCTGCGATGAACCTAGAAGCTTCACTTGAATAAACCATTATTATTTGTAAGTAAATGCGTCTAGGTGTACACCACCTATGTCTTCCCTAAGTTGACCAAAAAGTATTTCTTCCAGGTGTAAGAACAAGGCAAGTTTCCTACATGATAAGTAAAAGCACTTTCTCATTCCAGTCTCCAACTTTAGTAGGTCACGCTGGAAAATGTAGTTCTAGTCATCATACTCCAAAAAGCATGGAAGGTAGGATGGGAAAACTGTGAGAAAGGCTTCTCTGTATGAGTAGGTACAGATTCACTGACAGGAACAGCCAGGTTACTGTGGTCTAACTTGTAGGAAAGGTATGTAAGGAAGGGTGAACAGCAGTCAAGGCCTCTCACCCTCCTGCCCATGCTTGCAATAGGCGAACCATTGTGTCACATATTGGAGTACACTCTACCTGTTCTTCAGGCCCTAGTGGTTACCAGTAGGTTTGTTGGTGCAAATTCAAATAAAACCCTAAATGCAACGATGACTTGGTGCTTAGGTGCCTCCAGGATTGCCTTCCCCTACCTGAAGTGGTGCATCGAAGGTTCATCTCAGAAGCTCAGAAGTGAAATGAGAAAAATAAAAACCAGGAAAGTGCAGTTTGTCAGTTCTTACACCTACCTTGTGTGGAATTGCTTCGCTGTACACAGAATTAAGACTTGCCCTATTCCTTGTAGAAGTCTGGAAGCCACAAGAGGGACATTTTTCCAAAGAACATCTGGTTGAATAGTTTGCTATTGCCATCTATATTTTACTTTGAATTATTCATACAAAGCTATTGTTTTTGTTACAAATTATTTTTCATGTTTACTTTTGATAATTATTTGTTGTTACCATGAGCCTTTAATTGTTCTTATTGTAAACTGCCATCCATCTGTATTAATTAAACTTATACAGAAGGAAGATAACTGATCATCTGAATAATTCATTTTATTTTTGTGTCGGACAGACCAATCCCTTCAATGTTTTAGGGACCAAGACTCTTGGCTTGAGAAAAGGCGATCATTTTCCACAGGTGCAATTTCAAAACAACTTCGCAAGAAAACTATCTTGGACTGACACCTTATGGCTTAAATGCTGCTTTTCAATCTGGGGCCATTTCCTGCTTCCTCCCTGTCAGGAAGCACTACTTGGGAAATCAACCAAAAACACTGAATTCTGGAAGAAATCAGGACCAGCAAAACAATTCTTTTTTAATACAACACATAATTCAAGGTTTGGACCAGTTTATGAAAATCAGGGAGGCTAGTTAATGACTGCTTGCCTTGATGACAGTATTAAGTGCCCTTAAGGCCACCTGCTGGGAGACCTGTGGGCTTCCTTGTGCTCAACTGGATGGGACAAAGGCCCTGTCTGACAGGACATTGCTTTTATTCTTATAACTGTTGCCTGGCAATAAGGCGATTGGATTGTCCTTCCAGTTCTTGGCAACAGAGTCCCTGAGAAATGCTTCTGTGTTAAATTGGTCACACCTCTTACCCAGGATAGGCACTTAAGACACCCTCGCTCTATCTTAATAACCACCAACTTAGTAAAGCTACCCTAAAATTCATAGCACACTTCATGGTGTTTTTTTTTATAAAAATTGAAACAGGTGCGTTAAGCCTCAATGTGTTAAACCTATCTTCCTTCTTTTTAGGAAAATAACCCAAATTATTAACCCTTCAATAAAACCCTATATACATCTATATACACACACACCCCGTCCCAATGGTGTTGGAAAGTCCCAAATATTTTAAGGATTTAAACCCAGCTGCAAAATAACGATGCATTCTCCTGCCTCACAATATTTATTGATTTACTGGGATCTGCATGTTTTTCCCTCTGTGAAGTTAGTGAGGTTTTAAGAGTATAACCAAGGCAACCTAATCTTCCATAACTCTGCAAACTTTCCTATGAATTACATTTCTTCCCTGCAAAAAGAGTCAAGACATCAGGATTGCTATAAAAAAATCTTGATTTTTTTTTACCAAATATATATATAAAAACTGTATATATTATACATCCATATAAAAGAACAAAAATTCAGAACCGTTCTGGTAAATTATACATATATATATATAAAATAAAAAACGTTAAAAAAAACATTTCATGTCTGTCTCTGAGATGACTCAAACGTGACTTTGGTCCCCCCTCAGGAGGAACCGAGCACAGCCCCCCACAGAGGGCAAGGAAGGCAGATGCTGCTCATCAGCCAGCATCTTGGAATGCAGCGGAATTATCTTTGGCCCAACCACCAATTTCTTCCACTATCTGGTGGTCAGGGAAGAGGAGACAAAAGATGAGGGAGTTTGACTTGTGCGCGCAGATGAATCCTGAGCAAAATCCTGGAAAGTTGGGAGATATCCTCTTATATACAGTAAAAACTGAAATAATTACAAAGTGTAAAGAAGGAGACAACTGCTATGTAGCTAATAATCCAGTACCATTGGAAAAGAGAGGTGAAAAAAGACAAAATGTCCTCCGGGTAGAACAGTAGTACCTCTACAACATGTATAAAAGTAAAAAAAAAAAAGTTTCCCTTTTAGGCCCATAAAAAGACACACATACCAAGACTTATGAAATTAATCACTACAGCTGCCCCATCCACCCAGATCTGGAACCTGGGTACTCATATTATCTCCTTTTCGCTTTCCTTCCACAGAAACAGGATCGGAGCATATCCTCATCCCCTGACTTTTCGCTCAGGGTACTTCCAAACATCAAGCTTATTTATGTACATGCTTTCGGTTCCCTCCATTTCTTCTTGTCACCTGGGCAGTTGTCCAGTGCTTCAGAGACCTGGAAATAAGAGGAAAAAAGGATTTTAGTCTCTCACTCCAATCTCTAAAGAACAGGCTGCACACCCCCTTCATTATTATACGGGTTCCCAGCTTTCCTGGGGATATATAATTCTGCCTCTTCACACCATACACATGGCTGAGATTTATCCATCAGCCTCCATGCATGGTTTTTTTTTTCTATACCAGACTTTACATGCCTGTCCTAGCAAATGATGTATTTGAACCCATGGAAACGGCAAAACAGCGTGAAAATTCTGGGCCTGTCGTTGGCCGGATTCGGCCCGCTGGCCATGTGATTGACACCACTGGCTTATAGAGGCACACTTGGCTCTATAAGTGGACCCAACAGCTAACAGCCCCAAAGAAACCAACCATTCACACCAATTACTTTTTAAGCATAATCACATTCAGACTCAGAATATGGGCTCCTGCCAAGATAGTCCATTTTTGCCCATCGATGGGTGACTTTTTCTAACACACCGGCACTGACCTACAAACAAAACCTTGTTCCTCATCCCCACTTACCACTAGGCCGTTCACAAGCTGCCCCTTCCTTCTCGTGGGCCAAGTTGAAGCGGTTCTGCTCCGCAGCCAGTCCATTAGATTCGGGGCTGCTACTTCGCAAAGGGCTGGCGATACCCTCCGGCTGCAGTTGGAATGCCATTTCTAGATGCTCCTGGGCTACCCTCAGGTGCTTACGCAGTTGCTCCAATTCGTGCCTGGGGAGTCTTGATGCCACAGGGTAACGCTCGGCAGCCATGTTCTGTCCCCTGTAACCCAATTTCTCCTTGGCCAATTGGCCCTTGGAGGGATGTTTCTTCAGAGAGTGGTAGGTTGGAGGTGCAGAGGGATCCTTCTGGGCATACTGGGGCTTTGGGGGCGGAGCATTCTCCTTAAAGCCACGGAGCGCATCCCGGATCCCCCCACAGCCCAAGTGGAAGAGCTCACAGATATTGAGAAGCAGGCAGAGCCCACTCACAGCATACATGATGAGGAGGAAGATGGTTTTCTCAGTGGGGCGAGAGACAAAGCAATCCACGGTGTGAGGGCAGGGGCTGC